ACTGGGCAGAGGGGAATCTCATAGAGCTCAACAACAGGAAATGCAGTCTTACATGGATAAGAATAATTCCAGCTGTCAGTACATTCTGGGGGCTGGAGAATAGCTTGGCAAGGAAGGGCCTCGAGGTCTTTGGGAGCAAGAAGCTTATCATCTACCTATCATCTATCTATTATATTGCTATATACCCGCACAATGAAAAAGGCCAACAGCATCCTGGGCTGTACTAGGAAGACCACTGGCGCATGTGAAAGAAAGTGATCCTTCCTCTGCATTCAGCACAACTGGAATGCTGAATCCAGTTTTGGGCCCACAGAACAAGAAGGACATGGACATACTGGAGTGAATCCAGGGCAAGACAGAAAGATTATTAAAGGACTGAAGTACTCTTGTATTAAGGAGAGGCCCACTCTATCCATACAAAATGTTGGCAAGACTTACCTTCATGGTGTTGCTTACTCATTCATATAATTTCAAGTATCCTGATCCTGTATTTGTAAACCTGCCTCTTTATACTATTCTTGTCATATTACTTACTGCTGTTCTGCTCTGACAGTGTAGCCCTCCACTCTGTTCATCTTTGTGCAGTTCTGTGCTTCCCTTAGGTAGGGAACAATGTCTATTCTGTCCTTACTCAGATTCTGTTTAAATACCATGCACAGCTGTGATGATTAGATACAGCTGTTGGAGCAACAAAAAAGCAGCATAGCACCACATGTTTATTAGTTGTAGGTATGTTCCTTATTTTACTGATTTCTGGGTGTTCCTTGGGAAGTAGTTGCGCCTCTTGGGATGTTTGTGTTTAACAGTGTGGATGCTACCAGAAGCGTCTCTTCATTCCTTCACATAATTAAATTCTCATGGCAGCAAATCAGCTTGGTAAATGGAAAGCAGTGTGTCTTGCTGTGATACTGGAGGTCTTTTAGCAGAAGACATGTTTGTCAATATGCATGTGAAGTAAGGGTGGGCCACTTCAAATCCTCTTGCCTAGCAGGTGACTTGATGCTCTCAAGGAGCCTCCCTCATGAAAAAACTGCCTTTCTTCTGGGGATGAGAACTACATATCTTTAAAGTCTGGCTTCTCTTGCAATTTGTAGCAATAAACATGTCTCTGGTTTGATTGTCTGAATAGGGGAATTGCTCTTTGATCTTCCTAGGTAGTCAAAGCAGGCGGATAGCTTATTTTAAGCTGCTGCTGTCAATGAGTTATAGATCCTGGCTTGGCTTTAAATCCAGCCCCATCAAAACAAGGTGAACAGCTGCAGCATGAGTCTGTAGTGCAGATGGGCTTGAACTGAATGGCAGTGATGTGTACGAATGTTTTCTTTGTGGGCTTCAGTCCTCATAAACCCATTTAGTAGAACTGTTAATTGTAGCTGTAAGTGCCCAAGTCAGTGTATGCGCAGTGACCTTTAAAAATCTGCTTCGAGGGAGCTTCTAGATTGATTTGAAGTGATGTGTAGGGTAGCTGTTGTGGAGCAGACTGATGCTGGTAGCTTTATGTGCCTCTCAAACCAGTTATTTTTGGCTCTTATACCTTGCAAAGGAGTGACAATCTGACCCCAAGTAGGCACCATCTTTCTGATACAGAAATCTAGTTATAAATACTAGATTCTTGTAAGTGAAAAGCTGGGAGGTTTTTCTAACTTCAGTCTATAGCTTGAAAGTTTCTTGAAAGCCATCAGCAGTTTTGAGGGAACCTCTTAATTGGTTTCAATGGAACTGGATCAAGTCCTTGTCATTGTGTCCACTCACCTTCGACTTGCCACCAACTGCGGGCTCTTGTGCTGGATCTCTTTAGTTAGATCTCTTTAGTTTAGAGATTTAGTTTAGTTTCCTGAGGAGTGATTCATGTCCAGATGTCAGCTGTGCAATGTCTTTCTCATTTGCATGCTTACAGAGTGTTGTAAGGACTTGCATTTCAATTTTTTTTTCTCTAGAAACATCTGTTCTACTAATTATTTAATTTCTTAAATCAAAAGCTTTGTGAAAGAGTCAGAGAAATCCCACTACCCTGTTGCAATGACTTTCTTAATGTTGGAAGTGCGAAGTTGCAAACCCATATTTTCACAGATGCTCAAAAACATATTTTTAAACTACTTCTAAACCAAATCTCAGTACATACAGAAACTGGAATTAAATGTCACCATCTTTCAAAGAATGGAGAGAAACAGAACAATCCTGACACTTCTTTGTAGTCTGTTTGCCTTTTCATATTTCCATGAGGGTTTATTCATCTAATACGTCTGCAATAAACTCTTCTCCCCAGTGTGGCACATCAACAAACAACTATGGATGAATAACAAAGGGTGTGCTGCTCTTATGTTTTGTACTACTCTCTAAGGGGTAACACCTGCCTTGACAAAAGGAGGTATCTTGGCTTCTTTTACAGGGTGAGAAAGCAGTAAAGCAATAATAGCTTTGTCAGTGCAAGAACACTTCATAGCGCATCTGAATTACAGATAATGTAAACATTTTTTAATTCATCATGAAAACAGATTTAATGGCTCACTGTATTTTCCTTTGCATCTAAAGGAATAACATTCAGTTACTCATTCTGATGGAATACAGAAAATAATTTTCTTGGGCCATTTGAAAAATTGCAATTCTGCTTATATTTCATATTCCTTAATCCCTATTCTGCAATTTTTAGACAAGCAAGTAACCGGATTTGCTTTTCATTTTAAATCACAGTGTCCTACTTGTGCCATCAGAAATCCCACAGAGGGCTAAGAGGCAGTGGTAAAGCAAAAGAGGAAATAGCTAGACAGTCATCCAAAATTCACTCGTCATAGTTAAATGGAAGCAGTGCAATATTACTTTTATTTACATATAAGGAAAGAAGTCTGATGAAAATGAACACAAAAGTATGTTTTTAGAAGAACTTGTGGAACAAAGCCAGAAAGTTTCTGTGAGACCATGGCATACATTTCATGATGGCATTTCATTGTTATCATCTGTTGTGAGTTATAGGCCTGCTTACTGCTGTTGTTTTTAATTCTTTAGCTTTCCTATGACAGCTGGAGATTGTTTAAAATAAATATCCCTGCTGTGTTTTTAATGAAAGACAAAGTTCAGGGAAGTCTAGCCTCCTGCCATACCAGATTCTGAGTTTTCATAGGAGAAACAAGGCACATATTTAATTTGACTAAATGAGGTGAAATCAGCTCTCTGTCGTACTACCAGAGTTTACCTGTGCTTTTTTCTCTAGCAAATTATATTGACGGGGAAAAGGGTCACTCAGCATGTGGTTTATCTCAGCCATTAAACTCACATGGGAAACAACTGTCTTTCAGAGTTAAATTTTTCTCTGAATTTGGCCTCCTTCTGAAATATGTCTGAACCCTTGTTTGGGACTATAACGTAAGCCTGGATAGCATTACTTCTAATATTTCATGAAACATACACACATAGGCAACATGTAAGTGGAATTAACCACTTGCAGCAACAGTACCAGCTTGAGGGCTGCCTGCATAATTTTCTCCTTTCTTACAGCAATATTTTCCCCTCCCCTCTCTGCTGTGCCAATAAAGAACATGCATGGCCAGCAGGTCCAGGGAGGTGATTGTCCCTCTCTCTGCTCATGTGAGACCCCACCTGGAGTACTGCACACAGTTCCAATGTCCTCAGCGTAAGAAAGACATGGGACTGTTGGAGCAAGTCCAGAGGAGGCCACGATGTTGTTAAGAGGACTGAACCACCTCCCCTACAAAGACAGACTGGGGAAGTTGGGTCTGTTCATCCTGGAGAAGGTTGTGCAAACTCCCAGTATCTGAAGGGTACTGCAGAGAAACTGGAGAGGGAGTCAGTGTCAGGAACAGTAGTGACAGGGCAAGGGCTAATGGGTACAAACTGAAAGGGGGTAAATTTAGGTTAGATATTAGGAAGAAATTCTTTAGTCTTCTGGCAGGAACACACTGGCACAGGTTTCCCAGGGAGACTGTGGATGTCCCAACCCCGGCAGTGTTGAAGGCCAGCTTGGATAAGACCTGGAGTAATCTGCTCTAGTGGAAGGTTTCCCTGCTCAAGAAAGCAGGGGTTGGGACTAGATGATCTTTTTGTCCATTCTAATCCCTTAACATTCTACAATTTTATGATTCTCTCTGTGTTATAAGCCAGATACAGGAACCAATCAAAGCAACCGTCAAAAAAATTGTATCAGAAATCACTGCCCTGCCAACTAACATTTTGTCAACACGTGGTCAATGGAACACATGCTTCCTGAATTTACACTGGTTTGACCTCATTTTTCGTAAGGTTTGACCTTATTAATTAATAAATATCTAAAGGCAGGGGTGTCAAGAGCAGGAGCCAGGCTCTTTTTGATGGTGCTAACCACTAGGACATGAGACAACTGGCAAAAACTGATGCACTTGTAAATTCCACTTGAATCTGAGAAAGAACTTTACTGTGTGGGTGACTAAGCATTGGAACAGATTGTCCAGAGAGGGTGTGAAGTCTCTCTCACGGTAGATATTCAAGAGCCATATAGACACAATCCTGTGCCAAATGTTCTGGGATGACCCTGCTTTACAAGGGAGGTTGAACCAGATGACCCACCGTGGTCTCTACCAACTTGACACCTTCTGTGTTTCTGTGACTTAAGCTTCCCTGTCAGACAGAAGACACCCAAAATCACGAGATAGGGATATTTGACACAACCGATGTTTTGGACGTATTCTGCGGGTTTGAATTTGTCTCCAAGTTGCCGACGGAGCCGTGTCTTGTCCCAAGGGAGCGCCTGTGCTTTGGCAGGCTGGCAGAGGCGACCCCGGTGTCGCCGCAGCCCGAGGGAGCGGAGCCCGCCGGTGCGCCGGGCTCCTGTGGGCACCGCGGCCGGGCACCGGGACCGCGCTCCGCCCCGCCCTCCCGCTGCTCTCTGGGCGCTGATTGGTCCGCGTTCCACAGGCCCCGCCACGGCCGCTCGCTGATTGGGCGCAGGCGGCGGCGCTCGCCGCTCATTGGCGCAGGCGGGCGCCCCCGCCCCTTCCGCGCTGCTGCCCGGCGTAGGCGCGGTGCGGAGCCGCAGCTGCCCGCCCGCCCGTCTTCACCCATGGCCGACACGGAGCTCTTCGGTGCCCAGCAGCCGCAGCAGCCGCTCTCCGGGAACGGGATGCCCGACGGTGGCGAGGAGGATCCCGCCGCCGCTTTCCTGGCGCAGCAGGAGAACGAGATCGCGGGCATCGAGAACGACGAGGGCTACGGCATCCTGGAGAACGGCGAGGTGCCCGAGGCGCTGCAGGGTCCCGAGGGCCTCGGCTTGGGTACGTCCTGCGGGGGCGGCGGGTGGGGCTGGGGGGTGAGGGGGTTCCCGCTCCCCTCGCCAGTCGGGGGCGGTGCGGGCGGGACCCTCGCCCCGGCGCTCTGCCCCGAGCGGGCCCCCGCTGCCCGGGGTGGTTCCGGGGGTGGGCCGGGGCCGGCCTGGGTGCACTGTGCCACAAGGCAAGCTACCTCCCTGCTCCGTCGGTTATAGTTTGTATCCCCTGAAGATGTCTAAGGCGTGCCCATATCCTAATGCGAACGGTGCTGATCTCGTCTAATCCAGGAGCTTGCCTGAAGGAAGGCTTCTGAAAGCCGGATAAATCCGCCACTTGAGTTTCTGTCTTCAGCGAGGGTGATCTTAGTCTTAAAGCATAAGAGCAGTTAAGCTAATGTTTAATTTTACTAAACCTTTAGCCTTTGTTCCTTGGTAACCTTTGTACTGAATGTAGCAAACCCAGCACTGCAGAGCCCGCGTTTGGGGAAGGGTGGGAACCGTGTGTTGAGGAGTATAGGTCAGTGTGTTTCCAGTATGTCTGATGGTAGCTAAAGCAGCCCAAAATAAACACTTCTCCTTATGAAAGGTTTTAACAGGCCTGAGTGGAAAGGGGTTGATGTTGCAACACTCTCTGAAGACTTTGCTTCTACTTGTCACTAACACCACAGGGACATATTTGCTCTCATGTGACATCCCTTTGTCACTGCAGTAGGATGCCACTCTCCTTCAGATTAAGTTGAATAACTGCTCCCCAGTTAATTGTCAGAACATCATTAGAATTAAGTCTTCTTTTTGCAACCTGATACCAGAAGTTACTGACGTATCTTAGGTATGAGGGGGCAGGTTTGTAGTCTCTCTGTGAATAGCGCTCATCTAGATAAACTGGGTAGTGGAGACCTTCCAGTGCTTATTTAGTGGTAGCACTGCCCTTAATGTCAGCTCACTCATAAGCTCCAAAACATATGGATTACATACACCTGAAAAAAAAGTTGTTTACTGGGCACTATCTTGCTCCAGCACAAGAAATTGAGGATAATTGTTATCAAAGCACCATCCTGTTTTGGTATCATACATAATTTGACTTCCGTGTTCTATGTATAGTGCAGAAGCAGACACAATGGACACTTCCCTTCTTACTTTCAGAAGCCTTAGACAAAGATAATCCTTACATGCATGGGCTTTATGTTCCAAACAGACTCTAGAAAATTAAAGTAGCCATTTGAAAACAAATGTAGTTGAAAAAAATCTATCATCGGCCTTTCTCACAATGGCCTTTCTCACTAGAACGACTAGAGGAGTATGTTCTCTACATACATACAGTGATGCCTGTTACAAACTGTTTCCTTGTCAAAAAGTTGGTTTGTTCAATGCTTCTAGATTGCTTTGATATTTAAAAGTAGCTCTTAAACTGCCTTTCAAGCACATTTTCTCAAGTCATGTAAGTTGACTTGTCATGGAGTGCGAAAGGGTTATTAGAGATCTTTAGAAAGAAGCTAATAAAATAATAAATATGATAATATGGTCCAAGGATCTGAGAAGTCTAGGCAGGAACTGTATGTTATCTTGCTTTCTTTTATGCCATGGGATTGCATTTATGCTCTGGCCTGTTAAATAGGCATGGGAGATGATGCTTGTGGAGTTTTGGTGGTCCTGTTTCTTACCAGAACATTGATCTCTGTTGACTGTCAGAGCCTGTACTCTCTTCCCCCATGTTAAAAAGCACAGACTTCAGCCATGCAAAATGTACTCGTTCAGGCATGGTGACAAATGATCTAATGACTTCTGTTGCCATTTGTGTTAGGCATTTCTTACCATCTGATACTTACAAATAACAGACATTTGTAGTCTCTGGCATATTAGCTCATTAAACTCCTCTGTAATTGAATAGGTGAATGCAAATTTCTTCTTGAAACAATGCAAGTTCTTACGTAAATCCTTAAGCATTGTGACCAGGGATTTGCGGATTTACTTTTTTTAACCGTAACCTTTTTAGAACCCCTTATTTACAGGTCTGCTGGATAAGTTCTTTCTAAGTACTGGGCCAAAAGTAATAAATTGGGCAGCTCTCACCTGAAGTTTGAAGATCTTAACTTCAGATATAGTGACAAGCAGTCATCAGCTTCTTGAAATACACTTTTAAGAATCATAGCGTCTCATCAACAGTCTTTCAATTTCAGTCTCTTGGTAAATGATTAGACAAATATGTGGACAAAAGCAAGCATCATGAATTGAAAATATTAATATTAGGAATTCCGTTAATTGTCGTAATGGGTGAGTATGGGGGTAATGGCAGAATGTTGCCAAGCTCGTGTTTCCCACACAGCATCATTTCATGTTGCCTTAATGAGGGATGGAATACTGATCCAGGCCTGATCCAGTAGGCCATTCATTATGTAAATAGCTATGCCATTCAAGCTGCCTGAGCATGCAAAAACGTAATCTTATTTCCCTTGGAAGGTGAAGCATAATCCCTGCTCCAGAAAACAGGGAGTACTGTATAAATCAAGTAATACAGTGCTGTTGGCTAGGTATTAGTAACGTGATGTCTTGTGAGATTTCTTTTTCAGTGGTGAATCACTGTCCATATATTTGCAGTGAGATTGTGACAGCAGTAAGTCTTAAGGTTGTCAATTCACTTGGTATGTTCTTTGAGCAAGGGAGAGTTCAAGGGGGAATGTGTGGTTTCTAGGTACTTGGATCTATGTATGCTAATATAAAATCCTTACGGCAGTTTGTTGAGTAGATTCTTACGGGGAATTTAATTCAAAGACAAGCAGTTAGACAATCATGCAAATACACAAGTTTAATGTAGGCTGACTAGTCTCAAGCATTGCTTTCACATTTTCATGCTCTGTAAGTTTTATATGAACTTGACTGAATTATGTTTTTCTGTCTTTGAAAGACATTCATGAGACTAGCAATTAAGAAAATTAATTGTGTCTGGTGGTTTGTCTAGGTATTTAATTTAATTGCCTTTCAGGAACTGAGTATCAATTTGCTTCAAAATTGTTTGGGAAAGAATTGATTCCTCCTGTTTCTGTAGTTAGCACGACAGACAGAAAGAGTTCTTGTCTGTAACAATTGATTTTTTTCTTAATTGTTTGAACAGCCATTGATCTGGATTTTGCTATGCAATCAGCATCTGAGGCTTCAGAGCCCCATAACACAGCACTGAGAAAGGTTTGATAGAGGGATGATATCTGTCTAGCTTGTGTTAGTGATGCTGCATTATTATGAAGTCAAGACAGAAAAATAAATTTTTTGTTTTCAAGAAAATACTAGTGGAAATTACAGAAGCTGTTACATTGTAAAATTGCAGAAGCTGTTACAGCACACTATTATTGCAGGTGTGTTTTAGTCCTAGCCTATTGATTATATTGAAAATGAGGGGACTAATGGGTTTTGATAGGACAGCAGATTAGAACTAAAACACTGTAAAGAAGCACACTTCCTGAGCTGCTTGCCTTTATTTTGCACACAGGCATGAGAATGAGTTATGGGTAGAAAAATAATTTCTTCTCCAGGTTCTTGCATAACTATGTAAACAAAGTTTTGTAAAAGATTCTTCTTTCTTATCGTCTTATGGGTAAGAGGTAGGTAAAAGGAAAGCTCTACTGTGCCTAAAAGAAAATGATGGGAATCTAGGCCTTGAGTGGTGGAGTTATTTAACCTTATGTCAGAATATATTAAACTTTATGTTCTTCTGTTGCTTTAACTAGAGCTGCTAGCTCACTGAAAATAGCACTACTTAGAGTACTTATTGCTTAAAAGAGATGCTGAAGGTAACTCATAAAAAATACTTCAAATATTTCAATGTATTAATGTATTAAAAAAAGTTTCAGTGTACTGCAGAGCCCTTCCTCTGATATTTTGGATAATAGTCCTCTTTTGCATTGAGAATAAGACTTTAGAGAGGCTGGTGAACAAGGCTAAGCTAACTTCCTTTTAGGCCAAGTGGTAGTGAGTGGTAATAATACCAATAGTAGACTTCAGGATAGTTGATCATCATTATGATAAACCTCTGAGGCCATATTGACTTCTAGGACTGAAGTGACAAAATGGTTTTTGTATTTATCTTCAAACTACCCAGCCATTTCTTTTGTAAGCTGTAGTAAATGTGGAGGGCATTGATGCTAGCTTTCTATTTCTGGCAAGCTTGGGTGTTGTATCTTCTGTGAATTTAAGGCAGCTGGTATGAGTTATCCTCTCCAGACACTTCCAGACTCTAAAAAATAATCTGTGTTGCTGTATGAAAGTTCATTATTACCATATTGTCAGCATGTGTTGCAGAACTGTAGATGTTTGGGCGTGTTCACTGCAACAGTGCCCTTAAAAATAAGAGTTTATCTTAAGTTCAAAAGCAATCAGCAAGGATTATGGATCATTACTAACTGAGATGGTTCTAAATATGAATTTTAACTTCAGGAGATACAATACTGTGATAGAATTGGATGGACTCTGAAACCAGTAGGAGTGTTCTCATTGTTCATGGCTTCTGAAAATGTTATGATGCCACTATCAGTATTTAGGCTTTTTATGTGCGAAGGTTATGAAATTGCATGTTTCTGTGAACAGAAAAATCTGATACACAACTAGCATTGATTACTGATATGAAGGCTGGCAAACAGGTAGTTTTTCTACACTTCATACTTAATTATACAAGCACAAAGACTGGAGAGCTGAAATGAAGGAATGTTTGACTGTTGGTCTTGTTCCAGTTAGCACACTTAATTGGCAGATGACAGCATGCTGGTACAGTTCTGTTTCCTCTTCTGCTTGTGATATGCTTAGTCAGCATGCTGACTCTGCAGCTTAATTGCAAGTTCTAGGCAGCTCAGAACAGATGGGAAATTTGTTCTAATATTGCTAATGCTTCTGACCCGGGTGCCCTCTAGAAACACTTAGTTCAGTGTCTGTTAGCGGCTGTTTCTTTGCAGAACAAAAATGGCCCTTAGACAAACCTGTGTGTTTCATCTCAGACACAGCTTTAAGCAGTGATGTTGTTCCTTTCACCTGAGCAGACTACCACCCTCAGTAGTGAAGACTATAATGAATGTTTTTTTGGTGTGACAAGAAAGCTTAAACATATTATTACTGTCCTTGGAAGCATCCTCATGATTTATAAGCTCTCTTGCCCAGCTGGTCACTTTAGTCTTTGTAAAGCCCTCCTGTACCTTACAGAGGATTAGGAATCTGATAAAGTAGCAACCATCTCTCAGTTATGGGAGTCTAGTTATAAAATACCAGTTTCTCATAATGGAAAAGCTTTTTTTTTTGTGAGTCTTCCCCTGCAAAAGTTAGTAACTATGTTCTTGGGGATTAGTATCCTCCAACTGAACTGCCATTCTTGAAGTGATGAGTTTATAGTCCTCTACATGACACAGTTAATGACTGCTCTTCAGGGCTCAGAGATAAAGATGTAAAACACTTGCCTGCTTCCCTGATAAAGTAGTATGAAGAACTTCCTGTGTGCCGTTTGCTAGTAGTACTGTGATACTGGTGCATATCCAGCCACAATCAATAGGATACAGCAGCATAACTTGCTTAGTTTTAGGTCAGTCAGCTATCTATTTTTAAGAAGGTGGTGCAAAATAACTTGATTTTTCTGCTTACTGTGTTGCAGTCACTTCTTTCACTGAGGGGTGTATTATGGTGGAAACAATTCTGTGTGATAGATTTATCTGTGGTGGCATGAGTAACATGAATACTTGGTATATCAGGCAGACAGATGTTACGTTGTGCTGCTCCAGAGAGATGCCCTGCTGAGATTTAGCAGTTCTTGAAAATCTTGGTGTATTTTATAGAGTCCAGAGATTTAAATAGTTTCAAAAACCTAAAAATTTGCCTCACAACTGGCATGTTTTCCCTATGGATTTGTTTTAAAAAGATGAAATTTTAGGCTTTTTTGGCAAAGATTTGTACCTGAGCCTGAAGCTCTGTTGCCACTGTCACTTCAGAGATAATAATACTGCAACTGAAGCAGAAAGCTATCAAGCATATCATCACAGGTGGTAGCAGAAAGGTGACTTTGCTAGGAATGTTAGCTGTATCTTTTGAGCTAATTAGGAGATAACAACAGTAGGATAAGAATTACCAGTTGTTGGCTGCAGGATTCTTAATCTTCCAGGCAGATACTAAAAAAAGTGGTAGTCATCCTTTTAACTCCAGAACAGTTGTATGGTAGTCAGCTTCTAAGAGGGGGAGGACAAAGTGGGAGTAGCTTTAGAATGCAGTCTGTAGCAGCTTCTCAGCTTCTTATGTTGTTACAAGCAGGATCTCATGACGAAGAAACGACCTGGTATTTCTAGTTCTGCAGAATGGTAGCTCCCTTGGTTTTTCATGCCTGTGCAAAAAAGTGCAGGGAGAAGGAAGTGTCCCTGCGGGGTATCAAGTAACAATCACTTTCACAACTCCCACGTTACATACTCTAGTAAAGCTTTCCATACAAGTTACAGAAATCAGTAAATCTGGCTATTCTATCTTTTCTCAAATGACTAAACAAGTCACCTCTTTACAGATGCTGTTGATGGAGTGGTTAACGGGGATGTCTATCAGGTAAGATAGAAGTATTCTGTACTTAGAATGTGCTGAGAACTTTACCTTAATGTAGACTTCCTATTTCTTGTTTTTAAAGTAATTTTATCTCATTTCTGAGGAAGGTCTTCTATTCTGGTAGCTCATCTCATAAAGTTGTCAGTGTTTTAAATTATGCCCATCCTCTGAACTTAGAAGCACCTTAGAGCAGCAGTTCATTTTTAAATGTGGCTTAACAGTACATAAGCAATGTAAAGCGGACTGATAGGCTCTGTGGTATGACTTTACATTGACTTGCACTGGCTGCTAAGTTGCAAGTGTGCTCTGATTACCTAGTTTAAAGCAGAGTTTTCAGATTTGCTTGCTCTTTAAAGATAATTAATGCATCCTGGTTGTCTTATCAACATGGCCTTACAGGGAATGGACTGAAAACTCTGTACATTTCTTATTGACATGAAGTTGCATGAAATCAAACTGATGGCTAAAAAGCTCAATCGCAGTATGAAAGGATGCCATGGTAATGACAAAAGGATGAGATACCTGCTTCATTGGTGTCAGGGAGGTACGAGGCATGCTGAGGCAATCACTTTGTTGGAACTGAATTTCACACCAGTTTGTCCAAGGCATGGTCATTGCCTGGTGTCACAGTTGGCTCGTTAGCCCTTGTTAAATGAATGTTTGGGAATGAAGCAATGTATGAGCGATGTACTTCTCCTTAGAGTTTTAAGTGAATGCTGAGCTTTGTGGAGGCATAAGCAGCTTTCATGGCTGCTGACATTCTTATATTCTCAGCATTACTGTGAGATTGATGGGACAACTTGTATTTTACAGGCTCTTTGTGCTTCCTTGTACAACAGAAGGCAGACTGCCCTCTTTAGATACCTTGATTTTGTGTTTGGAATTCTAAGAGACCAGTTGTTTTGGTTGACAGAGCTTCCTCTTAATGAGAAAGAAGAGACTGAATGGACTACACATAACTTAGGTTTTAGCTACCTTAACTAGCTGGCCTTGTGGCTGGCCAGTTTATTTTTCTTTGGATGAAATGTGAAGCCTGGTGGTGTTGCTCCAGCCTAGTGTCTTCTCTTTGCATTAGTCCTTCATTGAGGGCTACAGGAGGTCCAGAGAGGGGCAAGGCACAGCCAAATCTGTGGTCAACTGCAATTGACCTGGTACTCTTAGGAGTGGTATTTCTTATTTCTGTTAGGGGTAGGATGAAGCAATAAAAATTGTTAAACTTCAAGTATCTTCTGTAGCAAATACCATAATATTTATTAGCTTTGTAAATCTGCTGTATTAATGTTAGCCCTATTAATTTTAAGCCTTTGAGATGTTACATTGTGAAAAGTATTCTAGTACTCTCACTGTTCTGTTGATTAAATATTGAAATGTCTCTTGTGTTATAAGCTACATAGAGCAATCCAAATTTTGTAATGTGATATGCAAATGTCTCTTGAAGTAGACAAACAAGCTGCAAAGAATGTTTTATACTCCTGTGCACAAAACCATAAAGAAAATTACTTTCACAGCAAATATTTAAGGAGAGATTAACTCAGAGAAGATCTGGCCTACAGCTGTGTAATTAGGTGCTAGGCATTGTCTTCTTCATTCTGCAGGCTTAGTGCTCTGACACTAAGTGTTCATGGCACTTACATTTCCAGTTGTCTTGAATTTTTGTTTGATCCTTGATTTCTGGAGGAAGTTTTCTTAATTTCCTTCAATTCTGCTGTAATTTGTAGCAAGATTTTTTAATGGTGGAAATGTGTTACAACATCAAATGAATGTATTATTGGCTCTGTTCAAATAGAGTCTAATTTTATATAGCTGGCAGGCAGTTATCGGAAATATCCTCTTGTTATGTACAAATGACTTTAGTATTTCTTTCCTCCAAGGAGAGTAATGGTCCCACAGACTGCTATGCTGCCATCTCCCAAGTAGATCGACTGCAATCAGAACCTGAAAGTATTCGTAAGTGGAGAGAGGAGCAAAAGGAGCGCCTGGAGCAACTTGGTAAGCATGGTATTTGTTGAGTAACTTAATATCAGCTTCACTCAGGCTGGGAGAGTTGGGGTTGTTTGCTTGGAGAAGAGAAGGCTCTGGGGTGACCTTAGAGCAGCCTTCTAGTACTTAAAGGGGGCCTACAAAAGAACTGGAGAGGGAATTTTTACAAGGGTGTGTAGTTTACAAGAGGCTTTAAACAGAAAGAGGGTAGGTTTGGATTAGCCATTAGGAAAAAATTCTTTATGGTGAGGGTGGTGAGGCACTGGCACAGGTTGCCCAGAGAAGCTGTGGATGCCCCATCCCAGGCTGAATGGGGCTTTGAGCAGGCTGGTCTAACGGAAGGTGTCCCTGCCCTTGGCAGAGGAGGTGGAACTAGGTGATCTTTAAGGCCTCTCCCAACTCAAGCCATTGTATGATTCTTAAGCAGCAGAATTCTGAACTATCGCACTGCCTCTTCAGAGTCTTAACATGCTTCCTGAGTTCAAGGAGCAAGCCTGGATGAGTCTTCTAGTAAGCAGACTTAATACTGGTGTGGGAGTCAGCAAGCAAGAGGCTCTCTGAGCCTTTACTTAGAGATGAGCTGACAGAAAATGAACAACTTTTTTAAGTTAAAAAGATGACAGTAAGTACTGCAAGCAGTAGTTTATTTCAAAGGATAAAGATTACTCATTTTGTAATTGCTGAGGCCATCTGTTGTCATATGGATCTTAATCTAATAACTAAATTAAGAAAGTAATGGATTATTAACTAGACTAAATGCAGCTATCAAATGCAGTGGTACCTACCCATGGACAGCATCTAAGAGACTACAAACTGGTGCACTTCCCACTTACATGGTGGAGCCTTTGCTTGAAATTGTTAGGACAGAGCCTTCTGTAAAATGTAATTCTGGATGGAGCTGACCCTTTCACTCCTCTTTTGGGTTAGTTACAGCAGATGAGGTTGTCCTGAGCTGTATGCTGTGTGTAAAATTATGCGGAGTGCCAGGTTCCTTCACTTTGCCTAAGCATAGAGCTTTACTAAGCTTTGTTCCAGCACTGGCATAGCAAGGTAAGTGTTTCTGGTTTGAGCAGTTTGCAGACCAACGGATCCACTGAATCTGAACTACTCTGCAAAATTCCTGTCCTAAACTGAAGTGGACTGTCCTAGTTATGCAGCACAGGAATTCTGTTTAGCTAATCCTTTGAATGTTTGTAGTATTTGGAGTTCTCATTGCCTGAATCAGGAAATCTCCTAACCCTTACCCAAATTGGTGAAGCAATTGTCTGCACTAGGATGCACCCTGAATCATCAGTTGAAATGTTTGTAAGACGCATTTGGATACAAACATGACTGACAAAGCAGTTCTTAAATCTTCAGATGCAAACTCGCGAAAGCAGGAAGCAGAATGGAAAGAGAAAGCAATAAAAGAGTTGGAAGAGTGGTATGCAAGGCAAGATGAAAAGCTCGAGAAAACAAAAGCCAGTAACAGGTAAAGTTTCCTCAGCTATCAGAAGAGTTATGGTTCTAGTTATGAAAATAATTGTGGAGGGAGGTTAGAGTATTTCTTGTATATCCTAAGGCAATAGTCATTCAGATCATTAAAGCAAATGCTCCTACTACCTATCTTTTTAACTTTTCTTAAATAATCTAGATTAAATGTCCAGGAAGCATTAAGATGATGATCAAGTATTACTGAAGATTCCTTAGGACATGAAGCCTGAACATGGCCAGAAAATATTTTACTCTACTCAGTTGTTGTCACACTCCCAGCTGCACGGGCCTTCAGTATCTTCAATTACCTACCCTGATAACTAGCTTTCTTACTTGCTTACTTTAGAACATATGGAAGTGGCATTCTAGTTAATCTTGGCTACAGGTAATTTCATTAAATGTCTTAAAACCTTTTGCTGCTCTTTTTGGAAGCAGTTCAGGTATAACATGACTCAGTCCTGCTAGTGCAAAACTAAATGCTGACTGTATCTGTACTGGTTTGAATTGTCTAATTATGGGTCCTATGGCAGAAAGTGATAACTTGGTTGCTGGAATAGTAAGCTCTCACACTTTCTTAGAAGTTCCCTGTGGAATTTTGACTTCAAGCTGTGTGAAGTAAATGTGATAGAACTGACTTAGTGCCTCTTAAATCTCTACTTCATCCTATCCAGGTAATCATCAAGACTGCTTTATATTTTGGGAACTCACAGGGTTCAAGATGAACTGCTGTTTTGTTAATTTTGTTGTTGGCTTTTTTTTGTTTGTTTGTTTTTTTGAAATACAACTTTTCTTATCAAAATGGCCATCAGGTTTGTCTTAATTAAATAAAGTCCTAGGTAGACTACTCTTCTTTCTAAAGGAATAAAGGAGGTCTGTGCTGCTGTCAGAATTATGGATTTGCCACTTCCATTCAGTGAGGAATTCACTATCTTTTGGTTGGGCAAGAAAGGGCAACAGGATTAGTACTGTTGTAGTTGGTGGCCAGAGCTCATGATGCCCTCATAGGTTTATTACGGCCAGTGTTTGAGTGCAGGATATGGAGTCTGGAGCAGGGTTCACTAAACAGGTGTTGCACAGAAGTGTTTGGTATTCTCATCATCCTGGTGAGATCTCTTGCCTGATGGTAGTTTCTTTCCTCTGGAAGTAGTTTACTGCTAATACTGGGGCTCTAGTCCTCAACTAGATGGTCTAAACTTCTAGGATGTAGCAGAATTTCTGTGTTGCCCCTCTGACCAATGGCTTAATTGACACATTCCATGTGGTAACTGTTTTCCTGTTACAGTAAGTCTAGGTGATGCAAGGCTAATGTGCTTGTTAAAACTGCCTTTAGCTGTGTTCCGTACTTCTCATCCTTATCTCTTTTCTCCTGCCTGCTTGCCTGCCTGTTGGACTACTTGCTACCTAGGGTGGCAGATGAAGCTTTCTACAAACAACCCTTCGCTGACGTGATTGGTTATGTGTATGTTGCTTAACTACTAATTCTGTTTGCTAGTCAACACAATAATAAGCAGGATCAGAAATAGTGCTGAAATGTCTGAAGGTGCCTTCTGAATATTTACTTCCTAGACCACTTCTGGTCTGCAGTATTAATTGCAGTTCTCCCGTATGCACTGCACAAAGCCTAGCACTTTCAGTTTAAGTTGTGTAGTGTACATACCACTGGAATTTTGACTTCAGTAGTCTTTAGACCTAAGGGTTTACAGTTGTTTCCAGGCCAGTGAACATATCTTAGCAAGATGCTTTGCTGGGGGTGTGGGTTAGTGCCTGCAGTTTCACATGGGTGCTGTGTTTAGTGTTTCCACAGAGAAGCAGTGTTTAACTCTGTGATAGGCAGTGACCACTTTCCTTGCCTACGTATCAGAAAAATATTCAAACAATGCTTGCACATAAAGGTTCACAAGCCAGGGAAGGTAGAAGGGAATTGCCTGACATAAATCAGGGTAGAAAATGTGCGTGCTTATAGAAGTAGGAGGCTGTTAGAGAACAGGTGGAAAGTACAAGAATGTGGTATTGGGACATCAGTGTAAACTGCTGGGAAGACATTTAGGAGCTGTGTAGATGTTTTACCAGCCTAATAGGTCAGTGAAAACAGAGCTGAGATTTTCAAGCCCCAGTGAGCATGCTAGTTTCTGAGGGGTAGAAGGATTGCAATGTTCATTGGCTTGTTCATGTATTTTAATTTCTTCCCTTAATTTGTAGACTTGAATTGAAAGATGGATATGCCACAGATTCTAAGGTGACACCTTTAGAAGGTGTACTGGTGAGCTGTGTTGTGGCTTTGAGTGCATTAATATTGAAGTTTGGTGTGAAATTCACAGCTAACTGTAGGTGGATGTAAACCAAGACTTGTGAAATGATGGATTTACAGGTGGTGTTTAACTTTTCTGAAATCTCCTGGAGTTGGTTTTGTTAGACTTCTTCAATAAAACCCTTATTTTCATATGTCCAATGCAAATGTGCAGTGTAAGTGCTGCATAATAAAACTGGCTGCCTGTTTCCGGAATGTAGGCTAAGCTACTAGTGCATGTTCAGCCAGCTAATCATCTGCATTAAACTCATTCTCATTTTCTATATCTGACTTAAACTTTCTCTCCTTGTTTCTTTTCTTCTCTTCACCTTTAAGCACAAACATAAATCATCCTTGCTACAGCCTAGAACAGTTAAGTAAAAAAATCTTCACTGCCCCTTAAAAGTGTCATGTCACATAAAGTAGCAGTGTTGTAGTGATCCTTGTCTTCAGTGGTGTCTGTAACCTTATCATCCCTGTGAATAGTGCTGAACCCTCATGGGAGAGTCATTTTCACTGCTTTCTCTGTACTGCTTGTTGGAGTAGATGGATTTGGTTTGATCTCTTGATGCTTACTGCTTCTGCACTCAGGCAGCTACCAGGGCCCCACAGTTCATGTAAACTAGATGCTGGAGTGTTATTCCTGCACTGAAGCAATGCTATTGGCAGCACAGAAAAGCCAAAATAATACAGCTGGGAAGCCACTGGCACTATCCAGTACATAATGTCAAAAGCCTCCGTAGAGTCTCCTCAGGGTGAGAACAGGGGAAATATGTTTGTTCTGTGAGGTGACCCAAACAAGTCATCTCCTCTGCCAAGATATATGCTGTAGTCTATTGCACTCACAAGCATGGGATTCATGACTTAAATTCCTTATGATTCATGCTGCTTCACTACAGCATTGGGAATCATCAGCAGATAGTTTTATGATGGCCTGTAGGCCTTGGGGCTGATTTAAATCCTCAAATGGAATTTGTTTAAGACATGCTTGCAGGCGGTTGTAAATTTCCAGTTGGCAAATGTCCAGTATAAGCCATCAAGTGGCAGAGGCTTAACTAGTTAAAACCTGGGCATTTCTCCATAAATTAAATGCCTACATAGAAGTACCTTACTTCCTGGAAGCTTGTGTGGCGACTCCTTAGGCAAAGACTCAATAACTATTCTTAAAACCAAACACCTGTATTCCAACATTTTACACAATCCTCTGCAATCCTCTGCACTGCTTGTGCATAGCATACTACTGCAATCTACTTTCATCTCCAGGATTGGGGCAGTGGGAGCTTACGTGGCCATAATGTCCACAAGCAGCTGTCAGGTCACATTTCTTATGAAACATGCTGAAAGAAACTGCATCCTGTAAGAGGGAAGGAGTGGCTTATCTACTGGGCATTAACACAAGGTGCATTGCATTGCTTTTAGGGCAGCTGAAGAAGCCTTTGTGAATGATGCAGAAGAAGTTTTTCCGGGCACTGAGTGGGAACGTGTGGCTCAGCTCTGTGACTTTAATCCCAAGTCTAGTAAGCAGGCAAAAGATGTGTCCCGCATGCGTTCAGTCCTCATCTCGCTCAAGCAGGCTCCGCTGGTTCGCTGAAGCAAAGCTCGGTGGAAACACTAAAATGCAATATCTTAACCTTACTCAGAGAAGCTTTGTTTGCAGTAATTAATTAATTGTTTCAATGTGTTTTTTTGGACCACATCATGATGTATCTAGAGCTGATCATTGTTTGATTGCATGTTCTTCCTGATGTTTCCTTTCTGTGTCTGAAATGGGAGAACCTCCAAAACTGTAGTCTCTGTGCTGTTGTGCACTGAGGTATCACTTCCCACATTACTGATATTAAAGATCTGTTGAACAGCAAAATGTGTTGACTTTGAATGAATTGAGGTCTTCTGCTTCCTTTTGACAGAGGGTGTTTGAATTAAGTGCGAGTAAACATTTCTCTTGATTGCTAGTGATTTCACTTTGCTGGTGAATGTCCAGCCAGCAGTGCTTCTGGTATCTGCAAGGCTGCCCTGCTTGTTTCTTTAAGCTTTCTTAAATCTCTTGAGAGCTTTAGTTTAAAAACTTCTTTTATCACACTAGACAGCAGCTCAAGAAAACTAAAACAGCAGGCTTGTTAAGGGGCTTATCTTGCTTCCAGTGGGACTGAGGACTCTGCCTTCTGCAGTAAGGTAAGTGGTTTTGTATAGTTTTCTGCTGTCACTCTGGCTGTCTGTCTCAGGCTCAACACACAGGAGAGAGGACTGAGCAGTTAAGACATGTGATATTCTACTGCTTATTCTGTTCTGCTAGGTTTTTAAGGCTGTCTTCATATGCGAAGGTCTGCGGTGTACTTGGATGTTTTTGAACTGTGTCCTTGTCCTCACTGACCATTGCAGACACTTCTTCCCACTAGGGTGGTGAACTGGAGAGTTGGAGAGCAAGAGAAGGGAAGACTTGCTCTTAAGGCTGCTCATGTCTAGGTTGGAGTTCTGTCTGCCAAGGTAGTTGAATCGGAAACAAACTGATAGAAAAATCTCTGTTCTGCTTCCTTGGCTCACCTAACAGTCACAGGAGCTATATTCTAGCCTTGCTCGGTTAAACCTTACCCTTAGCTGCCTATCTTATAAAACTAATCTGTTCAATCTCCTACATTATTTCACCATGTTTATAAAAAACACAGTATCTTAACTACTCTGTAGCGTAATTGCTTTAATACCTTCTATGTACAAGTCCAGGCAGTCTGAAACAGTTGCAGGTGTAGACTACGATGTACCAAGGCTCAGGATGTTACTGCACAGCAGCTGTCTCACTAGCAGCTGCATTCCTGTGGTGGGTAAGGTAGTGAATAAATGGTTTCCAGTTGGGCTGCAGTTAAGCTGTACCTCACAATTGTCTGTAATGACTGGAGCTACCAAGTGTATTCACATACTACTGGTGGGTGGTGATGAGAATGATAGTAGATTACAAGTCTGAAAGCTTGATTCCATGGAAAATTAAGACAAGAAGGTATCTTCTGAACTGCACAAGGGTATGGCAGGTGAGTCCAACAGGACTGAAGCACGGAGCAAGTCCATAGAATACTGATACTCATTGCTAGCCTTGACTAGTTATGCATTTGCCTTGACTGAAAATTTGCTTTTTACTGCACACTAAAAAGCTCTGAAAATAAATGTGTTCAAAATGATCTGATAATTTAATAGAGAAGTCCACTACCTTAAATGTACAGTCTTTAAAGTGTTAATATGAATTTAGGAGAATTTGAAAGATCTACTGTTTAGAGGGGCTCGTGCGCACTGAGTAATGGTATTTATTTTCCTATCTTACATAATATTTTATCTGGCTATGGATGTGGCTTAGAGCTGCAATCCAAGAAAATGGGCAAAGACTCGAATTCAAGGCCAATGCAAAGTTACAGAAGTTAAAACAGTATTTTATATGCTGGGTTTGCAGAGTGTAAGAATGTGTTTGCAGATTTTTTTACATATTTCATCTTATTGGAACACTTAAAATGCAGCTCTGTGGGTTATGATTACCTCCACTAACTCTGGTGCAGAGATTTTGCAGATTAACTCTTCTGCCTTAATTCTACATTGTATGTAAAATTAATGTAAAATGACATTGAGTATGCTAGCTCACTGTTTCCTTTATCAGTGCTGTCACAAAATCACAGACTGGCTGTGGTTGGAAGGGACCTCTAGAGGTCACGTAGTTCAGCTCCTCTGCTCAAGCAGACCCACGAGCCTGTTGCCCATGACAATATCCAGACTACTTCTGAAGATCTCCAGGAAGTGAAATGCCACTACCTCTCTGGGCAACCTCTGCCAGTGCTTGGATACCTGTATAGCATGGAAGTGTTTCCAGATGTTCAGATGGAGCCTCCTGTGTTTCAGTCTGTGCCCAGTGTCTCCTATCATGGCACTAAGGAAAAGAGCTTGGCTTCCATCTTCTTTGCACTCTTGCTTCAGGTATTTATATACATTAATAAGATTCCTTAAGCCTTCTCATTTCCAGGTTGAACAGTTCCAGCTCTCAGCCTTCCCTCACAGGAGAAATGCTTTATAATCTTTGTGGCTCTTTGTTGAGCTCTGGTGTGCTCATGTCTCTCATGTACTGGGGAGCTCAGAACCAAATGCAGCACTCCTGGAGTCAGGACATTTTCTGTGTCTGAGAATTGTTTTAGATTCTTAGACCTTGTGACAGAACAAAAGAATTCTCAGGTTTATTTGAACAAATCTTGTTTGTGTTTCTAAGCCCTGACTTCTTTTCTTCAGAGATCAGCATCTGTCACTGTTTTGTAACTTCATGTGACTGTGTTGTGCTACCTCTGCCTGGCTGTGCATGCTCAGTCCTGTTTACTGGCTTTAACTTCCCCACTGTTGCTGATTATCTCCATAGCATTACTCAGAATCTGGGAAAAAACCTGGATGCTTCCTATCCTTTAAACATAATCCCAGCTGCATGTGTGTGAAGATCTCATGCAGTATTGAGAGAGAAGCTGTGGACTCTTGCTGAACACATCCTGGTATAGAACTTGCTTTGTTTAGCTTCTGATCAAGTGACAGCCAGCAGCCAGGCAGTCTGAAATTACAATGAGCATTTGTAAAGAAGAGGGATGGAGAGGTCATGGGTTCACTGGAAAGCAGGGAGCCTGAAAACAACAGCACTGTGCATTCATCCTCTTAGCCTGTGGAACATGGTTAAGTTTTAAACAGCCATAAAACAACATGGTGTGGCTTACCTATTTCCTGCTGATGTTTTTATTTTCTGAGCAACCAGTTAAGAGCGAAACATAAATATTACAGGCTTGTATTTCAGAATGGTCAACATGGGTGTCTACAGTCTTTGCCAAGAGGATTCCTCCAGCAGTACTTGTCATGCAGGCAAGGATGTTCCTCTGCAGGACCTTGTCCTGTGGAACTAGCTCTAATCCAAATATAATTATCTGGAATGGTCCAAAAGGGGTGTACAGCCCAGGTGTTTTATACTTACTAATGCCTGTGATGTTTCCATGGCATTTGAAAGGGACCCCGATTTCAGATTTCACTGAATCCATGTATAAATTCTATCTGCACCTTACTCTGGGTTGTGTTTTTGCAATACAAAATTGCCATTTCCTCCATTGGTAATTCCTGCAAGTTTTTGACAATTTTGTTAGAATTAAATGGAAGAAAGACGGTGCTTCAGCACCACCAGAAAGCTAATGGATTTGTTATTTCCAAGTGTCTGGGTGGCAGATCAAAGATTCAGAACACTGAATAAACTTGATGGTCAGGAAGCCAAAAAGAAATTCTAAACCTTGAAGTATACAATCCTCTATGGATTAGCTATGTGGTTTGCAAAGCATCAGCAGTGACCTGTAAAAAGGTATCTATCAAAACTCATCTTTTCCTTATGGTCCCAAGTCCTGGGTTTTTGGTTTGAGAACTAAGAACTCCAGTTTTAGTTTGCTTTCCAGTCTTTTGGCACTCTACTGCTGTTGCTTGCTTATGTAATGCTGAACATCCAAGTTCATGAGGGGTCTAGTCCTGGCCCAAGCTGTTGATGTCATACGCAGTTCTGCTTGGAGGGCTGGAGGGTGGCATTCCTGCCAAGGCTCCCACAGTTAGGATACCACATGCACTTGCCACAGACACTGCAGAACCAACCAAAATGCAACAGGCAGTATGAACAGGTGCTGCCAGTGCAGGTACTGAGAATTGTCTGAGCTTTAGGCTCTGAAATACTGGTAAAGGCTGGGGAAAGGGACTTTGTTTCTGCACATTTTCCCAGTATTGGATATAAAGGTTGGTTTGCCCTTACTTGAGTCGATCTTCATGGTACGGACTACTCTAAAGGACACTGGGCCAGCATCAAATAAACACATTACTGCAGATATTCTGTGAACATATGATGTTTGCTCCTTCTGGGACTGTATACAACTGAGGGCTAATGTCCATAAAATCTCTGGTCCACACTGAAGTACCTGAAGTTAAAAGGATGCTTCTGAACAGGGAAAGAAGGAGAGACAAAACCACTATTTCGCTATTAAATATGACTTTTTATTCTCTCTGATTTTATAAACTGCTTGTACATATGCAGCAGGTTCTTGGCCAATTGACAGAAAAAAAGCATTTTCAAAAGCATTTGAAGAATCATTTATTAAAGGTGTAACACTTTTCAACTGTGTTTTAGTCTGTCGTGTTTTTTCTGTGCCTGTACCCTCCCTTCAGCTGCTAGGGAAAGACATCTTAGATACCAGAAATACAGAGCTTCAGAGGGTCTGGAAAGCAAAAGCCTGGTCCCACTTTTAGCCAGGCATTCCAGCCAGGCATTCCTTGTGATGGCAGAGGATGGAAAGATCAAATGACAGGCCTCCTCACTGTTAAAACCTCATTATTCCTTATCTGAGCTACTGTCACTGCAGTTTCTGCTCATAGAGCTAAAGCTCTGGTGTTGAAGGTAATGGTAATCATCAAGTAAACCAAGATGTGTACGAAAAGGAACTAAAACTCCTTGGTTACCTAAAGCCTAGTACAACTTGGCAAACAATTAAGAACCAGTTACTTGCCAAGTCTGAGAAAACTATGGTACAGAGGCTGCATGATTGTTCCTGGAGATACCAGGAGGAGGATCCGGTGGTATTCCTGAAATCTGCTCTGAAGATATGAGTTACCAGCAAGCATTCCTTGTGGAAGAGAGGGTGAAGTAAAGACAATCTGTGTAGGTTATATCCCAGAATTAGCGAGTGTACTAGGAGCTATTCAGTCCAAGTTCGTTGTATAGCAGAGGGTAATGGTTGCAGAAGATTGTTTCATTTTGACTGGAGAAGAAATTCAAGTGTGGAAATAGCCCCTATGCTAACACCTTACTGGACTTCTGAGAATATCCGTGGTTGAGTT